AAGAGGAAGAGAGACTCAGCGAGCAGCTAGCTGTGTCCCCATGCTACACCCTCCATCATGTTAGGGTGCTGCAAGAAGGCCCTGACCTGATGCTGGCACCTTGATTTTGGACTTCCTGGCCTCTAGTGTTTATAAATACTTGAGCTGTGGTATTCTGTGATACCAACAGAAAGCAGACTAAGAACATCTGTTTCCCCAGCCAAACTGGAAAGCCAAGGGTGGGAGTGTTAGGACTCACTATCTGAGGTGGCAGCACTGGCAGTTTCTGGGACCCTCCTGGCAGGCATGATGGAAACTCACATCTGTATTTTCAACCTTGACTCTGTTTTGAGCTCCCAATTCAGGTATGTATGGATGGGAGTTTTGGGGAGAGTCCACCTGGATGAGACTCTATATATCCCAAAGCAACTACCTTAGTCCACCCCCATGATCCCAGTACTTCTCAGAGGGCCTCACCACCTCTCAAAACTGTTACATTAGGAATAAAATTTCAATGTGAGATTTAACGGGGACAAAGCACATCAAAACCACAGTACTGACCGTATCATGCTGTCTCCCCAAAGTGGCCTCTCCTATGTCTCCTCTGTGAATGGAGCCACCCAGGGGATGAGTCTAGCCCCACAGCCATTGTTGGCCTCTTGTCCACATTCAGTCAGCCGCTGGGTCCTGTTCGTGTCTCCTCTTGGTTTTGGTGTCTCCTCCCACTCCAACACCTCAGCTGCCAAAGTTCACATCACCATCCTCTCTTGCCTGGGCAGTACCCTAAGTGGTCTCACTGTGCATGAGCACTGCTCTCCTCTTGGTCACTTTTGTATCCTGATCCCTAGTGGAGTCTGTGAAGAATAATAGAGTCTCATTAAATACTGGATAGATGAATGAACAGATGGATGAGTGACAGATCATTGTGGTTATGATAGTTTCTAGAGCATCCCCATTTTTCAGATCAGAAGGCAACCACAGAACCATTAGGGAATTTGATGAAGTTTCGTCAGTCATCAAGTAGTGGTGCTGGAAGCCATCGGAGGCCACAAAATGCAGAGTGCTGGCTCCTGCCACTGTGCTGGTAGACCTCCTGGTGAAACCTCCCTGAACTCACTGAAACCACACCAAGCTATGGGCTGCCAGGTGCTCTGAAACTACAGCTCATCATCTTGTTTAATAGCATCACCCACCCAAACCACAGATGACCAATTCCTCCTGAGGGGGAAATCTTCCTCTCCTGCCCAAGTCCAGTATCATCAGCCTGCCCGAGAGTCTCACCTGTAAGAGCTAGTTTCCAAGAGGTGGGCTTTTTTTTTTTTTTTTTTTATTAGGGACTTGGCTGTCGGGTCTGGCCTGGCTCTGTCATAGGAGTGACGATCCCAGGATGTGCCTGAGTTCAAACCTCTGCTTCCTAATCGGGTCAACCAGGGCAGATGGCTGAGTACCTTCAGCTTCCACGTCTGTAAATTGTGAAGAGAATGACACTTACTAAGAATGGAGATCGTTATGGATTTTAGATGGATTAAGACACGTTAAACCCTGAGAATAGGACTGGGCATACTAAGTACTGCAAGTATATACGGTTATTTTCACTGTTCTTTGGCACCAAACCCTACTGCCATTTGTAGTGGGAAGAACTCCACTCCTCAAGCCTGAGGTTGTCCACAGATGGCTGTGGGCAAGGTTGGCATGCATGGGCCACCTAGTGCCTACAGCAGGGAGGAAAGGTGGTGCCCATCAGGAGCTTAGCAGGTGACAGTCCCCATTCCACCCCTGTAGTACCCATTCTGTCCCTGTAATGCTCCTAGGACTGAACCTTTCTCCTGCCCTCCAGAGTCCCCTCTATAGTGAAGGAGTGACCCAGAGAAAATTTTCAGATATCAGGATGAGCACTGAAAGAAAGGTCTGAAGCACTGTTTGACATCAACGTCCCTAAAAACCACGACCTTCAACTTTCAAGCAAGGCTTCTGGCCCAAACCCACATAGCCAAACCAGCCCCCTAGGGAAAGTCCCCACTCTGTGGAGCGGTGGCTGGGGAGAAGGGAAACCCAGCGCTAGGAATGCTGGGTTCCCAGGTGAGAAGCTGTGCTTTCATTCCTAAGAACAGGATTCCTGGGAGAGGGTCACCCAGAGTCCCACCAGCCACTTTAAAGACTCTCAGTGCCATGTCAGCCCATGTGAAGACCCCTCGGGACGGACTTCTAAAAAGCACGAAAGGTGCCTATCCTGCCAGGGGAGGCGAGGGAGTCAGCAGATTTTTAAGTAACACTAACGTTTAACAAATCAAGCAGCCAATTACTGAGCAATTGGTGTACTCTGGGAAAAAGGCCTGAGTAAGGCCTTTCCCAGTGGCTGTAAGTCCGCGGTGCCAAAGACAGGTGGCGCTAAAGACTCATTCACAGACGTCCAGAGAATGGGAATCTGACGCATCCGGTGAGTGTAGGAAGGAGAGGGCGCCAGGACCGAGTTTGGAGCATCCGGGTCAAAGATGAGGATTTGGGACGACTAGCGGGTCTGGGCCTACCCTGGAGGTAGGGAAGCCAGCCGCCCGAGTGGGCGAGGCTCGCCTCCCCAGAAGTGTGGGAGGAGTTGTGCATTCGCTGGAAGCGTGGCTGGGAGAGTGGTTGGGCTTCGTTCTCTACCTGGAGCGTATTTGTGCGCAGCTTGTGGAGAGTGGGCGGATATTTTTTAAATGTCTTTTTAGATGTTGATGGACCTTTATTTTATTCATTTTTTTATATTCGGTGCTGAGAATCGAACCCAGGGCCTCACACATGCTAAGCAAGTGCTCTACCACCGAGACACCACTCCAGCCTGAGAGTGCACGGATTTTAAGGGACTGTCGAAGGCGGGACTTGTGGGCATCTTCAGTGGGCGGACCCAAGAGGAGGGGCTCTGTGTAGGCGAGCCCTCACCTGTGTGAAGTGGGGGAGCTGTACGTGGCCCGAATTCCTGCGCGGGATCTGCGGGGTGAAGGGGCGGGGCCTGTAGCCGGGGGCGGAACCTGCGGAAGAGTTGAAGGGGARCTTCGCACGTTTCCCTGGAGGGCGGAGTTTGCGTCGTCTCTCCTGGACAGAGTTAATATCTCTGCTGCGGAGCCTCAGGTTCTGTGAAGGGCGGAGCCTGCAGTCGTGTTAGGGCAAATAATTGCGACAGCGTATGTAAAGTCTGGATAGAGTCGCACCTCCAGGAATCCAGGACTGGTAGCTCTGCCAGTCTTCGGACCCACCCGAGGAGGCGGGGCCTATGGTGTTGGTAGGCGGGACTGATAGGTCAGAGGGGCGGGGCAATAATTCCGTAGGAATCTCTGAGCTGGTAGGCGGACACGTCCTGAGGCTTTGGGGGCGGGGCTCTGGCCCGCTCCCTAGGGGGTCTCCAGACAGCAGGGGTGGGCGTGGCCCGTGGCTTCAAGGGGCGGGGCTGATAGCGCCGGGCTCCAGGGCGGCTCCTGGGTTGGGCGGGGCCTGAGAGCCAGCTCTGGGTCTGGGAGGAGCCAGGGCTCGGCGCTAGCGGGGGCTCTGCCCTGGGAGGCCGTCTGTTTAGGCCCGCACGCAGCTCCGCATCTGGTGCTCATTACCGGATGACAAAGAGCCGGCTCTGGGCCCCCTTCCCTATTCCCATCCCCCCTCCAACTGCAGTCCATTTAACTCCTTCTTGCCCTCGGGGCATTCTAGAACCCCTGCCCCGGGTCAGCTGAGGGAACTACAGTGAGCTACAGTCTGCGTCCCGGGAGATCTTGCCATTCCCCAGTCTTCGCCCACACCTCCTTCCCAGACCCAGGCGTCTGAGCAGCCCTGCGACTCCCGGCCCCATACAGCAGACCTCCCTGGCGGCATCTGGGAGGTTAAAAGCTGGGCAGTATCTGGCGGGGGCGTCTGGTTTGAGTTAGGGGAACGTGAGAGCGGGCGGCCAGGGGCGGTGCGTAGCCTTCCCTCCGCCCCCTCTACACCCCCCCTCCCTCGTTAGTCCACAGCTCCGGGCCCTCCTCTCCTGGTCGCCTGGGGCCCAGTCCCTGAGCCGGAGGGTGTCAAAGTGCTCCAGGTAGAAAAGGGGCATTGGGCCACCCCTCTTCGCCTGCCCGGGTGGTGGTGGCGGCTTTGCCCCTTCTTAATTAGAGGCCCCAGAGACTGAAACCGAAAAATTACAGAGGCAGTGGGAACCGGCGCCACCCTGGCCCAGGTCCCGCCCCCTCCCCCCAAGGCTGTGAGCCCAGCAGGAGGGAGGTTACCCCACACGCTGTGATCTTTGACCTGCCTATACTCCAGTTCCTGGGACACCGCAGTCCTGATGAGCCTGCACCCTCGCTCAAGCTGGGCCCTGCTGAGTTTTTCAGACCCGGCACCACCCCCATTCCACAAGCGAGAAGAGCAAAGTGGGATCCCTAGGGGTCCCTCTTACTCCTGAGGCTGCTGGGGAGCTGATCTGGGACCTCTCTCTTGAGTTGGGCTCTCTTTCCATCTCAGCTTCCCCAGAGCAGGAGGTAGGAGCCTCCAAGAGCACCCACAACCCAAGGGCCTCAGCATCCTTGGGTGTCCCTAAGTACCAGGCCCCAGTTTCTGGGCAGCCTGGGAAGAGGGAAGCGGATGTTCAGAAGAAAGTTAGGAGAAACTCAGCCCCTAAATGCCCCCTTACTTTCCTGATTCACCAGCCCCAGAGTCTTCCCCTAAATCCCAGTTTGGCTATAGTTCAACAGAAGCCGTAATCTCAGGACCCTCCCCCAGATTCGGTCCCACTTTCTTGGAGTTTTGGTAAATAAAGAGGAACAAATATAGAATTCTCTCCATGCCAAACCTCAGATTCCCAGGCTTGCTGTGTGACTATGGGCAAGTATCTACCCTCTCTGGACTCCTCCTTCCCTGAGAATTCCCCGAAGTCCTCTCCCTTAAGAGGTCTTACCTTACCTAGACAAACCGAAGGAAGAGCCATTCCTTTTTTCCTGAGTCCTCCCAGACCCTCCCCTCAGGCATCAATGGGGGCCAAGAGCTTTGAGTGAGGTTGGCACCCCATTTATTGGAGAAGATCCCAGCACCCACCCCCTGAGGTCCTGAGGGCCTTGGTGTGTCCTCTGCCATGAGTGCTGAGCCCAGTGAGCAGGAAGCCTTCTGTCCAGCCGGATAGCCCCCCATGGGTCTCTGGTGCAGCCCCAGCCATGTGTCCAGCGCATGTCCCTTCCCCCTACCCTGCAGGGGACATCTGTGCCCCATCACACGCTGGTTCTGCAGGTCTGTACCCCTGTGAGGCTGTCTCTGGGGGGCATGGGTTCCGTTGGGCCTTTGCTCCCGGCATGGGTGACCCAGCGATAGCAGTCAGTGATACGCTTGTTGGGTGCATGGGGGCCACAGCGGGTGCAGTACACAATGCCCAGTGCAAGCAGGACAACCAAGAAGACGCATGTGGGCACAAGGAGTGCCACCAGCAGCCATCGGTCATCCCTCTGGCTTCGACCTGCCAGACCAGCCTCTGCCAAGGGTGTTGGGGCTGCTGTAGGTGCCACTGAGGGCAGCCATGGGGCCAACTTGGGACTGGAGCCCCCTTCCCTTGGGACCTGGGGGGCTTTGGAATGGGGATGTGCAGGGATGATGGGTGAGGTCTGGTTAGGAGGGGTCTGAGGAGGGAGGGGAGTGGAGAGAGCTGGGGATTGGGTGACAGCAGGCACAGGGACTTGATAGGCAGGGGTCACAGGGGACCTGGAGGTGGGGAGCAGAGAAGGCTGGACAGTAGGGATGATGGACAGCTGGGGAGCCTGGGTTCTAAGAACTAGAACATCTGGGGCCAGAGGGGACTGATGGGCACTGGGGGTGGTGTCAAGAGGGACAGGGTTAGACGGGATTCCAGGAAAATGAGTGGTGGTCTGGGTATCTGATACCTGGGTATTTGGAAACATGGGGGAGTGGTGGCCAGGGAACAGTTTGGGATATTTGGCTGAGAACATGGGAGGCTGATGGGCAGGGGGCTGTGCTGGGTAAGTGACAGAGTTAATTCGGGGCCGGTGGGCAGTGGGCAGATCTGGATAGTTGGTCTCAATCATGGGGAGCTGGTGGTCAGGGGGCACAGCAGGGCGTGTGGCAGGGGCCAAGGGGGGCTGATGGGCAGAGATAATAGGGGTCTGGCGGGCAGAAGGCAGTGTGGGGCGTGTAGCAGAAACTACCATGGGCCCAGTGGCAGAGAGCACGGAGGATTGGTAGGGAACCCTAGGGGCACTGAGCGGGGGTGGCCAGGTGGGCTCAGGGTAGGGTCTCCTGGGCTCTCGGTTCTCTGGGAAGCTGGGTCTATAGGCCAGGCCGAAATCTGGAGGCTGTGTAGGCTCCATCCACATGATCCCAGGCATCTCTGTCCAGCCACCATCGAAGACCTCCCAGGCCTCATCTTCATCCTCTTCCTCCCCATCATCCAGCAGTTCATCACCAAGGTCCTGGGAAGCCCTGGCGCCCATGGCCCCTGCGGGACTGCAGCTGATGCCATCCGCCTCAAGCTCGTGACCCTCACTGCAATAGCACTCAAAGCCACCAACATAGTTGACACACATCTGCTGGCACACACCCGCGATCTGGCATTCATCCGTGTCCACACAGCGGTGGGGCTCATCCTCTGCTGGTCGGAAGCCCAGGCGACAGTGGCAGCTGTAGCCTTGTGGCCCACCAGGCTCACACTGTTGCTCGCAAGGGGCTTGAGCGCAAGGGTCCTCACAACTGTGCCCATCTGCTGCCAGCCGGAAGCCCTCGGAGCAGCGGCAGGACACATGACCATCCTCCTCCTCCACACACTCGTGATCACAGCCCCCGTTGTCTGGGCCACAGCCAGTCCCTGGGCAGAGGGGCCCAGTCTGGGACCAGCCCACACCACCCTCAGGCTGATTCACGCAGAGCAAAGAGGCTCCCCTGCCAGCCTGGCACTGCACGGCGGCCACAGAACCAAAGGGCAGCCACTCGAACTCGGTGGAGACCAGGTGAAAGGGGGTGGTGTAGACAGCTGGGCCGGCCTGGCCAGCTTCATCTGGCAACGCCGGGCAGGCTCCCTCGAAGCCAAACTGGCATAGGTAGCCATCCACGGGCAGCGTGCACGAGCCCTCTTTCCAGCGATGCTCACCACTAGCCTCAAGGGCCACACAGCGCTGGGCCGGGCAGGGCCCTAACTGGGCAGCCTGGCCCCAGTTGGTGAAGGCCGTGTCCTGGTCTCCCGTGGTCCACGTGAAGCCGCGCAGCGGGCGCTGCTGCTGGCATTGCCGGGCCTGCCGCTGCAGCCCGATCCACAGCAGCTTGTTGGTGGGGCCAGCGCCCACGAGGCTGTCCACGCGCCGGGCCTCCTCGGGGGTCCGTGGCGTGGCCAGGTCGCCCCCCAGCTCCCGGCAGGCCCGCCAGGCCTCCAGGAAGGTGCGGCGTTTCGGGAAGAGCGCGTAGCAGCTGCCGGGACCGCAGGCGGCGCGGGGCTCGGCGTCCCAGGAGTCCTGGCCCAGCGCGGGCACCGCGGCCGCCCAGGCCAGCAGCAGGCGCAGCAGCATCGCGACGCCCCCCGACTGGCCCGGCCCGGGCTCGCGGCGGCTCTTGACAGGGGGAGGGGCCGGGGCCTCCGGCGGGCGGGCCGGGGGCGGGCCTTGTAAGGAGCGGCCTGGGGCCGCGGCCAGCTCCCGGCTCCCGCTCCCTCGGGGCCGGGGGAGCAGGAAGCAGTGGGGTGGGGGCTCCGGGTGGGGCGGAGGAGGGGGAGAGGCGCGTTAGCTGGCGCCCCGGGGCCCGCAGGGCGGGGAGTCCCGGGAGAGGGCAACGCCTGCCCGGAGGCAGCCCGACCCTCCGAGGTCCCCAGCGAACCCCAGAGCGGGCTCAGGCCACGGGGTGAGGTCGCGTCCCCGACACTCGCAGGGACCCGAATCAGGACACACCAAGCTCAACCCAGCCCTGAACGGTCTCACAGCCCAACCTGCTCCCGGCGCCCCGCTCACGTCGCACAGGCGCTGGCTTCTCTCCCCCTCCCCACGCGAGAGCAAGGGCGCGTGGGCACCCTGCGTGTCTGTCCCAGCCAAGCCCCGCACCTCGCCCKGGCCCACGCGGGCCTGTGGACCCCAGCCCACGCGCAGAGTCCGCCTGACGTGCTGCATCCCTTAGGTGCACCTTCCAAAATGGTGTGGCATCGTACGTGGCCTAACCCCTCAAGTCCCTGGGATTCCTGTGCAGGCCCTGACAACCCAGGCGCGGGACTCCTCAACCGCCCCTTCCTCAACTCACCCCACCCTCAAGCTTTCGGGCTCCAGCTAGGCCAGCTTAAGGGGGAGGGGAGGGAGAGGGACCAGGGCTGTCTTCCCTTCACCCCTGCTCAGCCCGGGGCCCTGGGAACCTGGGCTTAGAGGGGGAGGAGGAGGCCCCCAAACAGGAAATGCCTCTCTGGGCTCCTGCTGCAGGGTGCAGTGGGTTAGGGGCTGGGTGGGGGCTGGGCTACACTCTGGGTGAGCGGGACTGGCTGCCAGGGGACCAGTGCACAGCCATGTATGGGCACAGGGCACGCAAGGACACATTGCATGTATATGACATAGGCATCACCTCGTGGAGCCCCCTTCCTGCCCCCAGGGCCCGCTGCTCAGGCCTGGTGGGGGTCCTCTTCCTGTCTCTCCTGGAGGCCTCTGGAGGAACTTGAGCCAAGCTGGTCACCCAGGATGGCCCCTGGGGAGCCAGCTGAAAGATTAACCCATGCACACCCACTGTATTCTTTTTGTATATTATATTTTATTTAGAGACAGGGTCTCTCTGAGTTGCTTAGCGCCTCACTTTTGCTGAGACTGGCTTTGAACCCACCATCCTCCTGCCTCAGTCTCCTGAGCTTCTGGGATTACAGGATTATTTATTTTATTTATTGTTTTTTAAGAGATGGTTTTTGCTACGTTGCCTAGGAACATCCTCCCTCAAACTCCTGGGCTCAAGTGATCCTCTTGCCTCAGTCTTCTGAGTAGCTGGGACTACAGGTATATGACTTTGGCAGATGTTCTTAGCAGATGTTTGAATCTGAGGTGAGGCTGTGGAGGACACTGCCCCATAGGACACTGCCCTGGTCTAGCTTCCTGCTGTGCTGCTAATCTGCTGTGTGACTTTGGGGAAGTCACTGACCCTCCCTGGGCCTCCATTTTTCTTATCTACAATATGGGGATAATGGGCCCAGTTTTTTTTTAGCTCAGCTGGGATATTGTATCATCACTATTTGCAAATGTGCTCTGTCAGCAGTGAGCATGAAACATATGTTCCTCAGTCTTCCCAACAAACCTGGGTGAGGCCTTCAGTCCTAGCTAGTGTCTGAGAACCAGGGCTTTTGAAATGCATGCCATGTGCCTGGAAGTTCCTTCTTACAGGGTGCACACCTGGGAAGCACACAGAACTACTCCCCTTCTCAGGAAAGAAAAGTCAATATGGTGCAGTTCACCCTTCCTTTGGCCTAGGCCCAAAACCTTGAGCTCATCCTTGACTTGTCTCTTTCTCCCACACCCCACATCCAGTCTCGGCAAATCCTGCTAGCATTGTTTTCAAAATAGACCCGGAATCTGAGCACTTCTCACCATCTTTGCCACCCACCCCTGGCCATGCCACTAGCATCACCCATCTAGAGCCTTACACGCCACCTCCCACCCCCAGACCTCCTAACTTTCTATTGCCCTCGCCACCCTGCCAGAGGGATCCTTTGAAAATGTAGGTCAGGGCTGGAGATGTAGCTCAGTGTTAGGATACTTGCCTAGCATGTGTGAAACTGTGTTGAGTCCCCAGCTATACACACTCTCATTCTCTCTCTCTCTCTCTCTCTCTCTCTCACACACACACACACACACACACACACACACACAGTGGACCAGGCAGGCATGGTGGCACACACCTATAATCTAATCTGCTGTGTGACTTTGGGGAAGTCACTGACCCTCTCTGGGCCTCCATTTTTCTTATCTACAATATGGGGATAATGGGCCCAGGTTTTTTTAGCTCAGTAATTCAGGAAGATGAGGCGGAAGGATTGCAAGTTTGAGGCTAGCCTCAGCATCTTGGCAAGACCCTGTCGCAATAAATAAATAAATAAATAGAACCTAGGTCAGATCTGGTCCCTCCCCTGCTCAAAACCCTCTGAGGTCCCATCTGACTCAGAGGAATGACCCCAAGTCCTTGCCATGTGATCTGTTCCTAAACTACTCAGCTCCCTTTTACTGTGGCACCAGGCACTCTACCTCAAGATCTTTCCCTGTGGTCCCCTGCAGGGAACACTGTACCAGCACTGTCCAAATGCTCTGATTCTCCACTTTCTTCAGGTCTTGGTTCAAGTGTCAGTTCCTGATCCCCACCTCACACTGTTCCACCATCCCAGGGACTCCCTGGCCCTGGATCTTGCTGCGTTCCCTGCTGTGCACTTATTACTCTGACAATGTATATATTTATTTGTTGCTTTCCTTCTAACCTGATTGCTCCTAGCCTTGGCATTATTATTGATATTCAGGGCTGAATAACTACTTGCTACAGAGTCTGTACTCTGCATTGTAAGATGCTTAGCAGTGTCCTTGGTTTTTGTTGATGTTGGTAGCATCCTTCTAGTTGGGACAATCAAAAATGTCCCCAACTGGATGCAGTGGCACATGCCTGCAATCCCAGCAACTTGGGAGGCTGAGGTGGGAGGATCGAAAGCTTGAGGCCAGGGCTGGGGATGTGGCTCAAGCAGTAGCGCGCTCGCCTGGCATGCATGCTGCCCGGGTTCAATCCTCAGCACCACATACAAACAAAGATGTTGTGTCCGCCGAAAACTAAAAAATAAATATTAAAAAAAAAAATTCTCTCTCTCACTCTCTCTTAAAAAAAAAAAAAAAAAAAAAAAAAGCTTGAGGCCAGCCTGAGCAACTTGGAGAGTCCCTAAGCAACTTATCAAGATCCTGTCTCAAAATAAAAAAATTAAAAGAACTAGGTATGTGGCTCAGTGGTTAGGTGCCCCCTGGGTTCCTTGCCTGTAAATCCACCAGCAGAAAAAAAGTTTCCAGACATTACCAAATGTTAATATTACCCCCAGAGAGAACTTCTGCCCTGGGAGACTGTGAGCTCGTGATGGCAGGGTCAKTCATTCTCCTCTTCCCTACTCCGTGCCCAGAGAGTAGAAAACTCGGGGCCCATAGATGCTGAGCTCTAAGGGTTTGTGGAATGAATGAACAAGACTCCAATGTGTGAAGAGCCTGGCTCAAGGAGATGAACTGTGTGAGCTGGGATCCCACCTGGGACCAGAGACCACTTGCTCCCCACACTTGCTGGCCATCCCCGTGAAGTCTGAYGGTCCCAGAACTGGGAGAACCCTGCAAACAGGAAGTCTTTTTGCATTGGGCCGGGGGACTGAGGCCTAGGGAGTCTCAGAACCACTTAGTGGTAGGGCTCAGACCAGGACCAATGTCTCCTGATTCTTAGTCCAGTTCTCTTTTTGCTGTAGCACCCTGTGGCACCATTGGAGCAGAGACTGGGAATCAGGAATGATGGCAGAAATGGAGTTGGAGGCAGGAAGGCAGACCAGGAAGAAGGCATAGCCTGGATGAAAGCACAGAGGGCTCAGATGTGCCTGGAGAGCACAGCACTGCACTGGGCCCAGGGAGAGCCTCAGGAGGAGGTGAGGCCTGGAGAGAGGGAGCAGAGAGGAGTAGAGGCCTGGCTCGGCAGCTGCCATGGGGACAGAGGCATGAGGAGCGATCTTCATGGATGGTGTGCGGTGGGTGGAGGGGGGCTGGAGGCCAGGGACCAGTGAGGAGGCTGTTGCAATCGTCTGGGAAAGGAGAAGGAGCTGGCTGGAGAGCAGGGCAGCAGGGCGGGCCGGGCTGGGGGAGGCAGCCTCTGGAGGCTCCTTAGGGGCGGTCCTGAGCCTGGTCCAAGGGTGTGGTGAGCCCAGTCATGATTCGGGCAATGGCCAGTGCTGGGGCGTCTAAGAGAAGGCTGCAGGCCATCTGGCAAGTGGGTGGGTCAGATCAGAGGTCAGGACCCCAGCTTCAGTGGGGTCAAGGGGTTGGGGACAGGCCAGGGAAATAGGAAATAGGAGGAGGAGGGTCAAAGGTCACATTCCAGAGGTACTAGTACTTACCAGTGGAGGGAAGCCTGAGAAGGATGGGGGCTGGGGAGCAGAGGAGGGGCATCTCTGGACCCAACAAAGTTAAAGGGACTTGAAGACACTCTGGATGCCTAGTTTAGGAAGGTTCCYAGTTCTCACTTGTCTCCTCCAAGTTGGGAGAGGTAGGGTAGCAGTTCCCTAGGAACTTTCTGCTCTAGTTGGAATGGGGGGCACAGTGAGAACCACATCAAAGGTCTGGGGTGAGGAGCTGGAGACAGGGCTGGTCGGGGGCTTACTCTTCCTGCTGAGCCTGATTGGTCTTGGTTTATCCACAGCACAGAGAAGACGTTAATTGATGAAATGAATGCTTGCAGTATATGTGGTGGGTATATGGATGGTCATTTGGATGCATGGGTGGGTGCATGGACGGGTGGGTATGTGAATGGATGCATGTATGCATGCCTGGGCAGATGG